ATTGCCCCTAACTGCTCCCCTGACTGCCTCTGCCTTGCCCTATATCCAGGACCCAGGATTCCCTCCTCCAGCCGGTCGCAGGCACCCGGGACCCGGGCTTCCCTCCCTATGGCTGACCGTAGGCACACATGACCTGGGTTGACTTCGCCCGGGCCAAAGCTGCAGGTGCCTGGAACCATGGGACAGGTGGCTTGTCCCACTCCCAGGCTGCAGCCTGGCTGGTCCCCATTCCTCTCTCATGAGCTCATTGGTGCCTGGCTGGTCCCCATTCCTCTCTCCCCAGTGTTGAATGTCTGAGCCATTATGGCGTAATGGTATAAGGGTGTGATGACCATTTGCATATTACTCTTTATTATATAGGATAATCAATGTTTAGTCTTAATAAAACAGAATCTTCGTTGTAGCCTCCCGGATTTTGAAATCTAGCAAACTGGTTAAGAACATGAGATTTAGAGTCATATTTTACCAATTCATCACTCTCTTTAAAATCTCTGTGTCCACCAAATAGTTCTCATCTGTAAAAGGGGGTTATAATAATACAATCTATATCTCTGGGTTGCTGCGAGGATTAAATGAGACACAGTGCATACATGGTGAAAGCACTCTGCTTTAGCACTGTGTTGCCTAATGCATCATGCAGCTGAGCAGTTCAGAGAGCACACTCTGTAGCCAGGTGCCTGGAGTTATATCTTGGCTTTGTCGCTTACTGGCCGTATAACCTGGGGCAAGTTTCTTAACTCTTTGTACTTGTCTCTTCATCAGCAAAATGGGCATTGTTTTGTTAAAAGGATGGAATAAGGTGATATTTCTGTAGAGTGCTGACAACAGTTCCTGGCATGGAGGTTTATTATAAGCAGATTACATGGGATAATACACATACTAAGCACTCAAAGTGTCAGCTATGCTTATTATTACCTATAACTGCAACCTAATGCTTCCAGCATGCTCAGGCAAGGAATGGAGACCTAACCTTGAGGCCAGGCCCAAAGCTATCAAGAAAGCAGTTTGTGTTTTTTGTGTGTATTTTTGGCTCATGCCTGCCAGCAGAGGTCCTCAATCAGATAGATCACTTATTACCTCCTAGCCCTGCTGTTTTTAACCTTTGTTCAAAATAATAAGAAAAAAAGTATCCAAAAAATAAATACAAGCAATTTACCACACCCCTTCAAAAGCTTTATTCTAATTTTAAGAGTTTCATGGAGTTTGGGAAGTAATTTTGACATCTTCCACAGATCTTCATTCATTTCTCAGTATGATTTTATATGAGTTACTGATTCAGTTTCTTTTCCTGAGCAGGATGCAAGGGTGATTTCTTTCCTGGGCCCTTGTCCAGATGGATGCGAAGATGAGGCCGTGGACAAAGGTGGTAGATGAAAAGGGTGGAAATTTATTGGCAGCAAATATAGACTTCCATGTAGGGAGGAGATCCCAAGGGGGTAACCCACAAAGCCCCTTTTTTGCTAAGGTTTATAAAGGCTGTAGTCCTTTGTCTCTTGATGCTGCCTTCTAATTCGTCACTCCTTTTGTAGAATATCAGCTTCAAAGCCCAAACCCCACGTGGTGCCCCCTCTTTCTCTCCCCCTTATCTTGTAACATTTCTCTATCGCCTGCGAAAATCTGTTTTTCTCTTTTTCCCATTTGTCAGCATTTCTCTATCCCCTGTGAAAGTTTGTTTCCTTTTTCCCCATTCCCTGTGGCTTTTCCCTATCTTCTGTGAAAGGGTGCCTTCCTCTCCCCTTATCCTGTGGCATCTTTCTATTCTCTGTGAATGTATGTCTTCTGGTGGCTCCAAGCCTTCACCTAGTCATTCCTTCCCCATGGACCTTCTTTATTCCTAAAACTCCCTAAACCTACCTATTTTGTCCCTAAAACTCCTTTCATTATTGTAACAGGAGGAGGCACTCTAATATTGCAGTACTGTTATGTTATAGGATCACAAATGGCTAGGCTTACAGATGCACAAAAATTGCACCTGCTTACAACTGAGATTTGAACAGACTCAGACAAAAATGAGATGAAAAAAATTTCCCCAACATATTCTCATATAATTACTAACTAAAGAGACCACTTCAATTTCATTCCTCTATTTTTATTCGGGCCCAGGATTCAAGATAATTATTATCTGGGATATGGAGATGTACTGAACCATATAAAAATAATTCTTCAAAGATACACTCTACAAACCATTGAGCACCATGAATAGGACTCTTGTCACAAATACAGACTGACAGGTCATTCCTTGGCATTTTCACACAATATGGAAAATCATCCTGAACTGGCAGCTGTAAAGTTCCTAGATTCTCACTTGACAGAATAATTTAGGACTGATTGTGACTGGTAACAGGCAAAAGATGTACAATAGACAATAGCACCAAAAGAAATAATATAATTTTATTCAACAGCAGCTGGAAATATAAATATTTTAATAGAAAGCTCTCAACAGCTTAATGCACATAATATAGTGGATTATTTTTAAAAAATCACAAAGTGAAATATCGGCAATACTTCCCTCATGGTTGATGCTATCCTCCTGACATGTCTCCTTCAGAGTTCTCTGACTTCCTGGTTGGCAAATAGTTATGAAGGAAAAAGCTTGCCCTTTTCTCCATATGTAAATGCTAGCTCTTGTATTCCTTTGACAGTGTCCCTCAACAGATAAGCACAGCAGCCATCTCTGCCATCTCTTGCATGCTTATGATGTTCTATAACAACTCCAAATCAATAATGAACTTCATCTTCCCCTCTCTTTATTCAGCAAGAAGAGAGATTTGTACTGTTGTTAACAAAAAAAAAAAATCCATTTGGTAAAACGATCTTCTTTTATAACTAAAACACTTGAAGCTTCTTAGGTCAAGGGTGGCCATCTGATATCACATAATCAACAGGTGACTTAAGTATTGGTCAGTCTGACTGTGTATTTTACCCAATAGATCTTCCAAAGATGGGCCTAGAACAGTGATTCTAAAACTATAATGTGCATGCAAATCACCTGGATTCTTGTTAAAATGCAGACTCTAGCCCTAACTGGCTTGGCTCAGTGGATAGAGTGTCGGCCTGCCAGTTGAAGGGTCCCAAGTTCTATTCTGGTCAAGGGCAAACAAGGTTCTAAAATATTCAGAACAACTCAAGATACTAGATAAGGGATTGATCTGAACTCTACCAACACATTTATTTGCATAATAACCTGTATCCTCAATATATTAAAAACATCCAATCTTTTTAAAAATATCTTTATTGTTGAGAGTATTACAGATACCCCTCTTTTTTCTCCCATTACTCCCCTCCACCCAGATCCTAGCCCACCCCAGGCCTTCACCACCCTATTATCTGTGCCATAGGTAATACATATCCTATCTAAAAAAAAAAAGAATAACATGCAAATTAACGATCACTCCATCACAAAGATGGCGGCAGCCATGGAGCTGGAGCAGCAGGAGGCTTGGGTTGCCACAGGGATGGAGGAAGCCAAGCTTCCCACCTGCCCTGAGCTCCACTCAAGGCTACAAAGTTTTAATTATAGAAGACAAATAAATCCCAGATACCTGCTTCCAGACTGCATGGCCTCCGCTCAAGGAGGAGCTGGGATCCTCAGTTGCCAGAGGCAACCCAGGCTTCCAGCCGGACCAACGCTACAAAATTTCAATTATAGAAGCTAAATAAACCCCAGATACCTGTTTCCAGCCCGCAGGCATGGCCAGCCTCAAAACGGCCATCAGCCTCTCACCCAAGCTGGCCACATCCCCATGGGGTGATGGTCCCCACTGGGGGGTTTGACCAGCTTGCAAACAGCCATCAGCCCCTCACGCAGGCTGGCCAGGCACTCCAGCGTGACCACCACCCTGATCCGGGACACCCTTCAGGGCAAACCAGCTAGTCCCCACCCATGCACCAGGCATATAATGAAAGGGCAATATGCAAATTGGCCCTAACAGCAGAATGACTGGGAATGACTGGTCACTATGACACACACTGACTGCCAGGGGGAAGATGCTCAATGCAGGAGATGCCCCCTGGTGGTCAGTGTACTCCCACAGGGGGAGCTCTGCTCCTCCACAAGCCAGGCTGATGGATGCCAGTACAGCAGTGCTGGTGGGAGCCTCTCCTGCCTCCTCAGCAGCGCTAAGGATGTCCGACTGCAGCATAGGCCTGCTCCCTGCTGGCAAGTGGACATCCTTGGGCCTAAGGAATTGGGCCTAAGCCAGCAGGTGGACATCCCCCAGGGGTCCCAGACTGCAAGAGGGCACAGGCCGGGTGAGGGACCCCCCCAACCCCGAGTGCACAAATTTTTGTGCACTTTGCCTCTAGTATGCATAAAAGATCTTTGGTTCATCTCTTCTGGCCCCCCTTCTCCTATATCTCTGAGATTCATCAATCCATTCCATGTTTCCATGCCTCTAATTCTATTTTATTCATCATTTTATTTTGCTCATTAGATTTCTTGTACATTTATTTTTTAGATTCAATTGTTGATAGGTATATATTTATTGCCACTTTATTGTTCATATTTTTAATTTTTTTCTCTCCTCCTTCTCCTTCTTCTCCTTCTCCCTCTCCTTCTCCTTCTCCTTCTCCTTCTCCTTCTCCTTCTCCTTAC